GTAAATTTACATACTTCATGATGAGCTGTGTGACTGCCTGGCCTGGCCGACTGCCTGCCTACGGCAACTTTACTTTATTTATGCCCGAATTCAAAGAGCCGCAAAAAAAAAAAGAAGTTGGATATAAAGGAAATCTCAAAAGTGGGCTGTGCGTGTAGATGAACACAATTGCGCGTCATAAATTTGAATTATTGTGCTTTTTGCATTTGACAACGACTTAAAAGCACTTGCAGCGATTTTGGCCAGTCGGGCAGGAGTCGGCCACGAACATGTCCTTGAGACACGCACGAGTGCGAGCGAGCCGGCAAGCGAGCTATTAGTATAGAGTGAGAGAGCGAGAGGCAGTCTGTGCCAGTTCTATAAAATGCGCCTTTTGTGCTCTGCTCAGCTGCACAACGCCCAGAAGGCACAGGCTCGGACATGCGACAGGGAAAACAGCAACGCGCTAACCACTGGCTAACCACAGACATTTTTAGTGGACATTTATTTAATGCTTCAAACGCATTGAAATTTGCGCCCCGAGGCGACGCCTTTGTGATGAAGTCGGTCAGCGGCTGCCAAGCCATTGTGCTTGCTGCTAACAGTGCATTAATAAAGTATACGCCCAGTGTACGCGTGTATGCGGCCAGAGACCATTCAAGAAAGAATAATATAACAACTATATAAGAATCTTACGAGCACGAATTAGCTGCGATAGTTGAGTTTGCTGACTGTGACAGATTGCATCTGCCTCTTGGAGTTGGCTTAAGTTCATTTCGAGCTCTTCAAGCTGAGAGAGTTTTCCGCATGTTGCGCTGTGGACAAAGAGAAGACTTTAATGCTGATTCTACATATATTTCGGTAGTTTATTGATATTCAAGCTGCATTCATATTTTGAATTGGAATTTAATTTACATTTGTAAAATAAAATATATTTATTTTAATTACTTTTATTTATTTATTTTATGTTTAAAAAAATCATATTTTTTTTATATTTTTTCTATTATTATTATTATTTTTTTTTGCATTTTTACATATTTAAATATTTTTTTTTTTTAATATTTTCGAAATAGGGTATGCTTACATCTCTTTAGAGAAATCTATGTTGTCAAAACTCTTGCTCATGGTCGGATATGTTTGAGCTATACGAATTAATAGTTTAGTATCTAACTATAAGAAAAATATTTATATATTTATTAAAATTTATGAAATGTGCATTTATTGACTCATTACGATATTTATGAGCATTTTCAACAAAGGGTCATATCCAGCATGACTTGCCTGAAAACGCTTTAGTTCACCTTTGATTCTGCATTTTCACCTCAATACCCTTTACTTATCATTATTTATTTATCGCATAGACAGACGGACAAAAAGTCGCTAGTTTCGGCTGTAGATTGAATTGATTTTTAAGGCATAATAAAAAAATAAAAAAATATTTGAAAATTCGAGCTGGAATTTGGCAGAGAGCGCAATCTAAATGCTGTTAGCTCAACCAGACCTGTTAACAATAAACAATTGACCGCATGACATGACAAGCAACGAATGTGCTGTCCACACTGGCCAGTGGGCAGCTATAAAAATATTAAATTGTACATGCCCACAAGAAGAAGAAAAAAAGATGAAAATACCCAGACCCACACACACACACACACACACATACACAGAGGCCTTTGCGTGTGCTGCCTATGTTCAATTGCACAGCAATTTTATTTGTAGTTTTTCATTCGATGCGACATGTCTGCACAAATGTTGCATAGCAATTGCTTTGTGTGTTCAATTTTTGGCATAACAATAAACAAACGAAAAATAAAACTACAACAATGGAAAAACAACAGCAGCAACAACAACAACAGACGGTCAAACAAATGAACAAGAGCTGCGCACAAATTGTGCAGCTGTCAAAAGCAGAAAACAGAACTTGGACCAAGTGAGGCGTGGCTGGCGGCACAAAGCTTACTTTTATATGGTCCAAAATGAAATAAAAAGAATGAAATACAAATATAAAGGCATATTTTTAGTGCAAATGTATCGAAATGTAGATATCCTCTAACTATGAAATTTATTTGGATTTTATTGTGATAAGCAAAACTCTCTTTTTGCCTCGAAATATATGTGAGATGTATGTAATCTCTCTTCTAGCCTAATACACCTCTTTTACATTCATCTACCAGAAACAGGGTATGCTTACATGTACGAACAGTAAGTGTGGTTTTCATCAGTTTTGTCAATTTTAACAATGTTGTGGTGGAATGACCATCATCTCTAGAGCACAAAGCGCTGCGTGTGAGCATCAAAGGGATTAAATATTAGCTAAATATGCAAAATATTTTACAATATATTTTTGTAGTGCACGAGCTAAAGGCATATATGTATATTTATGTAACTGGATTTCATTTTTTCTGCATACAAGTTGAAATTCGAGGATCATATTATGGTGTGAAGTGAATCAAAAACAATCAAAACCTCAAATCACTTAGGCGTAATTAACACCATTCAAGTGTCATTCATAATTGAATTATTGTTTCAAGTTGCACGCATTATTAGCTAAGAGTTACATTCAGTTATAATAAATTTTATATGTAAAACTCTTGTTGGAAATCATAATTTAATTGGCGAACCAGAGATATAGAACGAGAACTGAAGATTTTCGAAATTGGAGATAAAATTTAGGAGAAGGCAAAAAAGTACCTAAAGTGATTAAACTCTCATCCAAAAAGCTGTCTAAGCCTCCGCTCTTGTAGAAGGAGAAGACTGAGGTGCCATATCGATCGTGTCAACAACTTCAAATTAAAATATTGATCCCATAGATATGGATAAAATATCTACTACATGCTAGAATATGGATTATCTACTTAGCACTAGAATCACATTCATTCCCTCAGATATATATCTAAATATAACGATTCTGCTTATAGCGTCGAAACGTTTATATACGGTTATAAGTCTTCTGGGTTTAACCACGGTCCTATCCTAAAATGTTTAATAGCTTTTATGAGATATTTAATTTAGTTTTGTTTATGGTTGTCTTAAAGGTACAATAAGCTTTAAGAAATAACCAGCTAAGAAATATATAATTTAGAAAATTTTTAAAAATACTAAAAATGACAAATTTTTGCAACATAACTGAACGAATACACTTTACTGTCGAGTACATAGATTGTATGTTCCCATACTTATCATATTTCTATGTTCATGCATGTTCATGAACAATAACGTTAACTTGGCCCAATTTTTGTTTGTCTACAGCCTAGAGGTATGCTCTAGTATTTAGTGGAACTATCGTATAGCTGTTGTCGCATGTCTGATATACGTCTGCATTGCAGAGCAGCTCTTGTGCTTTTTCGCAGCTAATAAAGCCCGAGATGGCAGTTTAATGCGACAACATCTTCAATTCGCACTGAGCTGTCGCTTAACACATATTAAGCCCAGTGTACCGAGGTACTTAATGTGTATATATGTATGTGTGGATGCGAATGTCTATATGTCCTTAACGCGAGCAGTTGACCGCAATGCCAGAGTTCTTGTCGTTGCTGTTGTTGCTGCTGTTGTTGGTGTTATTATCGTTCTGGTCTTTGTGTGCTGGGCTCTGCGTTCCAGGGTCACATTTAATTGAGCGCCATGTTCAACAGGCCGTTGTACATGCGCATTAAATGTAATTAACTCATTATAAATGATAACGTGGCCAAAAGGAGCCGCGCCACGGCTCGTCTTAAGCCGCTGCCAAGCTGAGCCAGCACTAAACAGTAGCCGGCCAGCCGGGCAGGAGCACGACTTGTCATCATAGCTAATTTAGCCAGCCAACTGGAGCCCAGGGCGAACGTGTTATGTTTCCGCACAGTCACACGGCCAGAATGGGGGTGTGGGGGGTGTGGGGGTGAGGCGGGGTACGTCACGCAAAATGTGAAATTATTACCGGAAAAGGACAATGTGACACGCGGGCTATTATTCAGGTGCCCAACTGTGGGCAGCTATCTGGCTGGGCGCTATAAAAATGCTTTTATGCTCTCAAGTGTGTGCTGATATTTGACCCTGTTTATTGCGGGCTTTTGTTTTCTCTCGTTTCGTTTCGTTTCGCTTTCGTTTTCGCTTTTAGCATGCTTTATTTTATAGTTTGTCTCACACCTGCCGCCAGGTGTGGCGCCTGTTAATTATGTAACACGCTCAAGTGTTTTGTTACGCACCTTTTGCTGTTCGCTTTGCTAGAAAAATACATTTGTATTACATACATTTGCTCACACTTATTCTCTTTTTTTTTTTCTTAGTGTCCCGACAACTGCGTAAACTCACATGCGGATTTAATTTAGATAAAGTGAAAATGTAGATTAGTATAATTGCACTTGGCAGTCAGCCAGACAGGACCAGGCTCAGCCAAGCCGCAAATTGCAATAAATCTTTTTAATTTCTTTGGTTTATTTTCAGTCTAGTATTTTTTTAAATTATTTTTTTTTTTCATTATTTTTAGTTCATTATTAATTGAGTTCAACTATATAAGCTTAAAGAAAAATTGAAAAATCACCCGATGAATACAACGAGTCGAGGTCTATTCAACGAGCTCAACGAGCTCTATTCCATGTGTTCCTGATGGAATATATCTTAAAGCATATTCGCCATATCTTGAAGATTGAAGATGCTTCCGATGCAGCTTTATCCAATTTGAGCCGGGTTTAGTCCTAACACTCGAATCGCAGATGACGTTCGCAAGGTTTCTTGAGTTCACGATTCAATGCGTTCAATAGACAGCACAAGTGACAATATAATTTCAGCATATGACATCTTTTCTAATGAGAAAAAAGTTTTCGCCGCATCGAGCAGAGCCGGAGCCAAGCAAATTTGCTTTGTGATTGTCAGTGATAGCCATAGTTTGTGTGTGTGTGTGTGGGTCACTCAATCTGCTGCTGCCAGCTGGCTGACCAAAAGCAAACTGTCAGAAAGCATCTGACAAACATTTGTCGTCCGACTGACAAAGACAGAAATCTGAAATCTGAAATCAGAAACGAACAGAAACAAATAGAAAAATATGCATATGAAAAACGAATTTATTCTTGTCCCAAATAACTGTAAAGAAACAACATTTGCAAAAGCTTTCACAACTCGTTTGAATAGTGCGACCCGCGCCCTAGTTCTCGCCATCATCCTCCAGTATTTGCTTAAAGCTGAACGGCGCAAAGGCATAGCCGGCGCCCTCATAGAACTTGCTCATGAATTCGACCCTAAAAATACATCAATCATATCCAACAGTTATAGACTGAAAACGGAATGGAATTATCGCCGAACTCACCAATGCAAGCGCAGTGTGTGCAAGAAGGCCGACAGACCCTCGATGAGCACCAGAATGCCCACGGTGAGCACGGACCAGGCGCCGAACACTATGAACACCGCTATGCAGCCCGTGTAGTTGGAGAAGCGGAAGCCGTTCGAGAACACCATGTTCCACAGCACCTCCGAGAGCTCTGAGAGATGATAGAGACGAGAGAAAGGATAATTAGCATAGCACAGATACAGAGATAGAGTTTAGAGAGAATGTTGAGCTAGAATGTTGATGGAGAATTTTGAGAGAAAATGTTGAGAGAGAATGTTTAATATTGAGAGAGAATGCTGACAGAATTTTGAGACAGAGAAATTGTTGTGGGAGAAAATGTTGAGAGAAAAAATGTAGAGAGAGGTTGTTGAGAGAATGTTAAGAGAGAATGTTGAGCTTACGTGCATGAGCCAGCGACAAGGCCCAGAGTCGCAGATAGGAGGCCGTATGGGAGATCGTGCTGAGCACATACTCGATGGTGTGTATGGCCTGCTGGATGTACACCTCGCTCATGGGCTCGTTGTCGCCATGGCCATGGCCATGACCGCCAGAGGGCGCAGCGGCTTGGTTGGGCGCCGGCAATTGCTTGGGTCGCGTGGCCTTGATGTAGAGCGGCTTGCCCAGCAGCATCCAGGGTATGCAGATGACGGCCACGATCACGAAGACCGTTTGAATCATGTCCTGGCCCTCGAACATGTACTCCTTGCAGCCATCCAGTGGCTCCTGGTGCCCGAACAGCATCATATTGATGAACAATATGAGAATGGAGGGTGCACAGCCCGGCGACAGGGACTGGTCCCTGCTGCTATCGTTGTAGGTGACCCACTTGAAGAACATCATGAAGACCATGTAGCCGAACAGCAGCAGCAGGAACAGCACCTGCGGCACGAACTCCAGAATGATGCTGGCGTACTTTTTGTAGTGTATGAAATTCACGACCGACATGCACACGCCGAAGATCATGTGGAAGACACCGAAGATAATCGAGAGCTTCATCTTGAAGGTGTTCAGGAAGATGATCTTGTTGTCGGCCAGCTGCCAGATGGGGTCCACGCCCACGGGATAGGTCTTGAAATTGCTAATGTTCGGCCGCAGGGTCAGGTAGGGCGTGGAGTGATCGGTGACTGTGGAGGTGTTGTACTGATTCCGCCAGCCGGATCCGAATATGTTCATGGACTTGGAGAAGACGTCGTTGTAGATCAGGCCGGTGTAGATCGAGAAGAGACCCATCAGTAGTATGATGTAGCGGCCGCCAAAGAATATCGTGAATATCTCCTCCTTGATGGAGGCCAGCTGGCGTTCCTTGATGATCAGAAAGGCGGCAAAGGCGATCAATACCAGGGCGTGGCCCATGTCGCCGAACATCACGGCGAACAGAAACGGAAATGTGATGCACGTGTAGAGAGCCGGATTGACCTCCCGGTACGAGGCCATGCCGTAGGCGTCGATCAGGTTCTGGAAGCCGCTGGTGAACTTGTTCGTGCGCGTAAACGTGGGCGGCTGCTCGTTGGTGGAGATGACGTTCATGAAGGCCGGAATGGTCGACTCGGAGATCTTGGCGCCTCGCGAGAGCGCCTGCTGCACCGTGGGCAGATCCCGGACGGGCACCCAGCCCTCGCCGATCAGGCACTTGCCCGTTACGTCCGGATTGAAGTAGTTGAGTGTGTGATAGATGGCCTTCATCTTCTTGACCATGATGGTCCAGCGAGCGAGGTGGTTGGCCGCGGAGCTCAGCACGCGACTGCGATGATCCGCACTCTGGTTGATCACCATCTTCAAGTCCTCGATTCGCATGCTCACGTCCTTGATCATGCCGGCGCGCTCGGCAGCTGAGCTGGGGCAGGGATAAACTTCGGCGTGGTAGCCCACGCAGACCTTCTTGATGCGCTGCTTCAGCTGCTCGCCCTGGAAGAAGGCCACGAAGACGGTCTTCAGCACCGGGTGGCCGGTCTCGTCGTCCTCGCACAGGCCGCTGATGTCGCTGCGCCTCAAGAAGATGTTGCCACGCGAGATGCGCCACAGCATCCGCTCGAAGCTGAAGAAACGCTCCAGCTTGATGACGCCGGCCACAAAGGATAGCTGGCCGCGTTGGGCGGCCGATTGTGTGGCCGCTGGATCATCGGATTCCATCGGTCGATTTGAGTCCAAGTTCATGATCTCCTGGCTGGAGAAGAAGCCCTCGGTGTTCTCCAGCACACTCTTCAGCTCCTGCATGTGCCGGAAGTTGGCGTTCAGGCTGGCGCTGTTCGAAGACATTTCGTGCAGCTCGTTCTCAGTCTTCTCCAGCTGCGCCTCCAGATCGATGATCTCGCGTGGGTTTGGCGCCGGCGGCTCCTCCTCAGCATCCAGATGTGGCATCTTGATGTCGTCCTTGCGCAGCTGGCCCTCTATGTAGCGCACTCGGCGCTCCATCTCGTCGCAGCGCCGCACCTCGCTCACATATCTGCGCTGAAAGGCGTTGACCTGATCGTTCAGATCTCGGAACTGCACACAGCCCATCTCGCCCAGCTCGGCTATGGAGGCGTACGCAGCCTCTGGCTGCACATACAACTGGCACAGGGCCATCTTCTCGCTGCGAAACATGTCGCCCATGGTGGAGCCCTCGTGTCGTTATCTGCAGAAAAGAAACAAACACTGAATAAATAAGCGATAGCCGAAATGAGTCGCCGATTACTATCTGATTAGTAACTGATTAAATGAAGTGTTATTTATTAGCATTGTTCGACCTGACAGTCGTTAAATTACGAATGCTCCCAGCTCCAGCCACTTCTCGGATGCCATAAATAAATGCTCTCCAGCTGTAAAAATATCTTAATCTAACTAAATTTATTGATTTTCTAAATAACTATTGTGGGCGACTAATCGGCTTGCAATGCGTTGATGGGTGAGTGTATATACACTGGAGTGTATATAAGGGAGGGGTTTGCTTTAAGTACGTAGTACGTATTTACGATACTCGATTCGATTCACGGTCATTCACAACAATGGACATTTTGAATATTTAGTTAATTTTGTTTTTTGATTCTTTTTTATGGAATATTTCTATCGATTCCATATAGTAAAAAATAAATTACATATATATACATATATAGTGATTTTTTTATATGTACATACAAGTCGTACCTTGATTATGCACTTTATAATCTACTAAAATCAGTTTGATTCACTATTCATTGAACTGAAATAAATTAATTAATTACAGTTTTTTTTTAAAACATTACTCGTAAAATATTATTCGATCAAGTAAGATTGACCCATATTAGCTGCTTCATTATAATAGCAATTATATACAATTGCAAACATTTAATTGGATTTGACGATTATTTCCATAGCAATCGATTTGTCAGAATATTCAGCAGGTGCTGAGCCAATCTAAGACCCATGTGACGTACATACATTGTTTACGACTGTGGAAATCTCAATGCAACGCCCCAATCAATCAGTAACTACAATAGGAATTTTTCCATGTATATATTGTATTCATGTGAAATTGAACTATTTGTGTACAAGCTATGTCCAAAGATAAGATAACACGGCCCGAAACGAGATATCGTGTTCGTTTCTCGCTTTTCGCTTTTAGCTCTGCTCGGACTTATCTCGAGTGCTTGGGCGAAACGATGCGTTAATAATTTCAAATTATTAACAATTACCGAGCAATCAGCTGGCTTATATATGTATATATAATATATATATAATATATATAAATATAATTTTACAAGTGGCAGCAGGACAAGGGACAGACTCTTTGGCCACATGAGTAATGACGCTGTTTGATAGCCGTTTTCGTTGTACAGATTGCAGATATTTATGGCAGCCCAACTACAGTGGCGGGCTGTGATTTTTGTCTCGCATGTCGAGCCATAAATTTGATTGATTCAGCCAATTTGGCGAGTGGCCGCGATAAGCAGCCGCTGTCTGTGCCCTACTCCGATAATTGCCTGCGATTGCCATCGGCTCTGTTCGCGCATTAAAGAGCCTTGCAGAGACTTTAAGTTTATAATTTACCACAGAAGGAAGTCGAATAGTGTCGGGCTTGATAATACGCCAACCTCAAGTGCTTGCCTAACATCAAAAGTCAATCAATTGTGTCAATTGCTTAATTTTTGTACTTGGAAAAAAAAGAACACGAATTATAATGAGGAATGGAAATCATGTTAAAAGATTATTCAAACTAAACTTGAAAACTTAATTAATATATAAGCGAAATTTAATTAATTTTAATATGCTCCTGTCATTAAGAGCATAACTAATTATTATATTACTATTAATAAAGTAAAATTGTGTATAAAAAGCAATTATTTCCTTTGTAAATTAGTTAGAGAACATGAACATTAAACATTATATTAGAAGACATTGATAGATTTGCCGATAAATAATTTATTATAATTACAAAATATATAGTTTATATAAATTACTTTAACATATATATATATATAAAAAAAATAAAATAAAAATAATAATAATAATAAATTTTGATTGTTATTTTAAATATTTTATAGAAAATATATAAGGTTATATTTAATTTAAACTAGCTAGTTTTGGATAATATTAAATAAAATATTATATACTAAATAAAATCATAAAAACAATTAAAAAATAATACAAAATATAATATTTACGAAAAATACGTAATCTAAAAAGATATATATTAATAATTTATTCATTTCTGTAGAATTAAATGGAATTTAAATATTAAAAAATAAATAAACAAATTAAATTAAAGTCCCATGCAAATATATTCAGCACTATATATATTTTTTTCCTTTCTGCAAAACTTTTATAAAATTCTTTCTATATTTAAATAAAAACAGTCCACAATAATAGTTCCATTATTTAGTCTATTTCATTCAGTTCTGAGCACTTAAACTTCTCGGTGCGCATTCACAGTCCAGCTCCAGGTAGATTTAGTGTTTTAGCTATGCCTGCGGTTTTCTATTGTAAATCAAAATGAATGTACGAAACGAACTGACTGGAGCAGAGCCCCAGGTCTGTGGGCTTGAATATGCCTTAAAGTTGGCCATAAATCGTTTGGCCGAGAATAGGAGCGGAAACAGCACAATAAACTCTAGTTGGCTAGCCTCAGGCTGTCATTCTATGGGTACACATCCTATGCACACATACATATATATGTTTGTATGTAGATAGTGAGTTTGTGAGCTTGTGTATGTGGGCTATAATTACGGTACGGGTGGACGGTGTGTGGGCGGTGGTTGATGTCTAGCAATCGACGCTGTGCTTAGCTCATTAAGAAATCCGTTGTCGGCTGGCCGTAAAAATATTATCGGTAACGTAATAATTTGCACAACAATTTATGCGTGTGTGTGTGTGTGTGTGTGTGTGGCGTTGCTTTCACATGATCCATCACGTGCTCTGACGTCATACACACACACACACACAGGAGTGTACATGCATGTATGTGTGCGTGTGTGTGTGAAAGTAGTTTAGCGTTTGCTTTCAGGCAAATCGAAGTCGACGTTTAACTGCTCGGGCAATTATCAAAAATCAATTAAGATACGTTATCGCAAAACATGTCGCTATTAAGATTAACGTAATTGTCTAGAATATGGCTTTGAATAATTGCGCCTTACGGCCGCTCAGGCTCAGGAGTCCTGTTTGGCAGTCTATTTATATATATATGTGTGTGTGTGTGAGTGTGAGTGTGTTGCGCCACTCTAATTGCTTTGTGGGTGGCTCTTTATTTACTGACAATACAGTCACAGTATTTTTATATCCCTGCCGAGGATTACAACTTTGTTTACTGCTCAACAAGGAATGTTTATGATAAGAATTGGATTTATGAATGCAAAGCTTTTATGAAATACTTTAAACAGCTGAAGTAACTATTTATTTTTTTAAAAAAGATTTGGATTTTTGTTAAGAATAGAGAGCTGGAAATGCATACATGTGTACATATACAAATGAAAATTAAATATAATCAATTGTTTTTGTTTTATGTTTAAAAAAATATTTAAAGTTAGCTTTTTCTGCTTCAAATTTCACATAGACTGAAACTTAACCATAAAAAGAAGATTTTAAAATATATTCCAAAATAGTTAAACGATGACAAATCTCTTCTCAAAGGTAAATTTTAATTTTTCCTCGACAAGCTTTGAGACTTTTACCTCATATTTCCCTTACCTATCTCCCTATATATCAATATATAGTATCAATTGCTTATTGCTTGGAACTTTCCCATTTTTAGATTTAAATGTTTCTCCCACTTATTTACCAAATCAAGTTTAAATCAAATAAATCTCTGTTGTCAAAGAATATATTTTAGAATGTTATTTCCGCTGCACATGTCTACAGTTCACATCATTCCTGCTTGAAGCTCTACACATTAACTCGGGTAAACTAAAGCACGATGTTTAATTTGTGGCAGTGTTTGCGGCTTATCTGGAAACGATTGCGATAACCTCCGGTAGTCGATTTAACCCGCAACGGAGAAATAATCAAGTTAAACAATTTAAAGCAAACACATTTGCCGTGGCCCATGAGTCACGGGGTAATTTGTAGTGGAAAACAGTTTCACTTAATGCTTAAAATAATGTTTTTTTCTATTTATTTTTAGTGGCATGTGTGCAGCATTTGTGAGTGCTTACATTAAAGATCACGAGTTGAATTGGTTTTGTTGTGGGTTTCTTATTATTTTGGGCGCTTTTCTCGGAGTTTTGTTCGCGACCTGGCCGGACCAACGGCGCTTTGTGTACTGTTCGATCAACTTGGCGCTCATAGACCTGGTAGCTTTTGCCAATTAAACAACGGTTAATCTACACTTGTCGCACACACCTACAAGCACACACACACACACACAGACGCAGGTAGTTGGAGGCCAGGGCATATAATCTGTGCGGCTTTTTATCTCGGCGCAACAACGCAAACACTTTGCGATTTCTGTTTGTGATTGCGTTGCTAAACAAGCCTTTGATAGACGCCTCGTTGTTTTTGTGTTAAGGAGTGGCACTGCAAGAGAGAGAGAGAGAGAGAGTGAGAGAGAGAGATGTGGTGGGGGCCTATCACGAGTTAACGGTTTACGGTGCGTCTAACCATGGTTAATAAGGCAATCGGCCCAAACCAACTTACCCTAGCTGCCATGCCAAAGAGCCGATATCGATGGGATCAATGATTGAGCATAAGCTCGAGTTGCTCAACTGCCCAATTGCAGTGCTCGACCGGGCTATTATCATGTGACGGCTATCAGACGTTCAAGTGTGACATCTTTCAATTGTGTTCTACTGGAAAGTAGCACATGTACTATTATTATTATTATTATATCATCGATCATGGCTGTGTGATAAATAGGTTCTATAAATATAGTGCAGCCGTTATTCAGTTTCGAATTTTCAATACTATTTACAGTCATATTGTTTTAAATATTTTAAAGTATTGTTAGCAATCGTTAGGATATTATATTTACACAAATTGTTATTTAATTTGGGTCTAACAATTGAGTGATTCGTTTTCTTTAGCAATTTTATTTGAGATTCTTTTCTGATTATTTTTTTCTTTGCTTGTTGTTTCTAATCAATTAGTCACGAGATCAGATTGTTTTACCTTTTCTAAAAATATGTGCTTTATAGCAGAAAGTTCAATTTTTAATTAGGCTTATCTTAAGTTACCCATAGATTTCTAAGATTACCCATGTTTATTTATGACTTGCTTATCTAGAAATGTGCTAAATTTGTTATCTACCTATGTTGCTATGAAATGAAGCAATAATGAATATGTTAGCAATTAAAAATTTAATAATCTTAGTCGCAAATATTTTCATAAAAAATAATTTAAATTAGGAGAAGAAATTCATATTTTTAGGAATTTTTTATAAAAAAAATGTAATGTAAATTATTATAAAAAAAATATATATAATTTTTTTAAATTTAAATTGAATATTGCAAATTGAATATTGCTCAATTGATTTATTTCACTTTATTTATTTATTACAATTATTATTTTTAAATTAAATAAATAAAAATATTAATTTATAAATATTTGTATAATACAATACTGTAAATACCATATTGTACCTAGATTTGATTTTAAATGACTTTTTTATTGAATTATAAATCATTTATATTGTTTATAACAAAAGGTTATTTTGTAATGATTCAAGTGTCTAACTTAAAAATGATTTATGGGAGGGCTGTGAATTTTGTAAGACATCGTGAACTATATCTCGATTTTTTTATTGAAAGTTCGTAATTTACTATGTGTGCCCAATGATTTTTTTCTTCCTAAACATATTTCGAAATTGATAAGTGCTTGCATTAAAAAGGGTATACAGCCGAAGCACCTTTACGTGAGCTATGATTACAAGGGGATTTCTCGACTTTTATTGCATTTACAGCTCAGCGCCCACTTTGCCGAGCTGCTGATTACACTTGCTGCAGATTGTGGAATGCTCAAGGTTTATCATTCTGTAGTATTTCCATTTTATTAGATTTTGTGCATTCGACCTACAACAATGTGATGTCGACTCAATCGCTTAGCATGAGTCTTAGAGTCTCAAGTGTTTTGTTTATCAGCGATTCTGGAGTATGCCAATGCTTATCGAGGGTCACGTGCATTTTTCCACATGTTTTCATCAATATGTAGTATATATGTGAATCATATGAAAAGTTTGGAAATCAATCCATAAAATTTATTGGCGGTGCAATTAAAAGACATGGCAAATGACTGTACTTTGCTGCCAGCACATGATTGGTTTATGACGAGAGGGAAAAAATAAAACAAAAACTCTACAGTCGGAATGGCCATACAGTTAAATACTCTATTTACAGATAAGACTGAAGAGTCCAAATAAAATGAATCTAATAAAAGTTACAGGAATCTCAAACTCATATCGAAACACTCATAATTTGTATAAGCACAGAGCAGGCCGTAGGCGTGTTTAAGTATGGATATATATATATATACAATACAATACAATCAAATATACAACTAACATTCATCAGATATGGAACTTGCCATTCAATCAATGTATTCGATTAGCCCTGGGCAATAGGGTATAAAAGCATAAAATGAATGCCATTTGTAGCGACCTCTTTGACGTCAGCAATTGAACTCGTATCTGGAGATTGCATTCAGGGAAATTTATCGGGCAGCTGGCAACCAGTTTAATGGAATAAAACGTGGCTCCTGCTGCTGCTGCTGTTGCTGCTGCTGCTTGGCTATTAGCGCATTATCTGCTCTAAGCTGACGCAGTTGTGGAGGAGTTTTCGCGTGTGCGGCTCCAGCTGAGCAGGCACTTGACTGATAAGCCAGCGCCTGATAGCAGGCGAGTATATCACGAGCTTTTTGCTCACTTCAGCCATTAAAATTTTCCAGTTAACGAGCTTAAGCGTCGTATATTATGCTAATTAAATGACGAGTGTGTGTGTGAGAGTGAGTGAGAGAAAGGAGAGCGCTTGTGTGTGAGTGTCTGAGTGACCACAAATAAATTGCATGCAACTTTTTGGCACATAAAATTGCAGCTTGCCTCCGCTCTGGCCCCGGCTGCTAATGCCACACAATGAAGCTGATAATGGTCAACAACTGGAGTGCAGAGCGAGCACACGGCCAAAATTGGCTGCCGCAATAGAAGATGAGCAAGGAATGCAGCCAGGCCACTGAGAGTCGCAGTCCACTCGAGTCCAGTCCGTGCCACACTCAACTTTGTGTGCTGGCACACATTTAATGCTGTGCCGCAGCCGTGTGTGGCATGGAGAGACGGACAGACGGAGCAGCGCCAGCTAATGTGCGTCACCATTTCGTCTGTTTTGTTGGCCAACAGCAGATGTTGTTGCTGCTGCTGCTGCTGTTGCTGCTGCAGTTGCATTGAAAGCCATTCAGAGGCTCCGCATTCGGTTGTGGCGGTGCCGTATCCATTTTGTCTGCTCGTGGCCAATAACTAAGTTGTTGCGTGGCTGTGTGGATTAGTCTAATGCCAATATGTGTAGCAACAAAATGCTGAAGTGGGCGGTCGGTCTGTTGGTTCGTAAGTGCCTTTTAGTGGTGTGCAGCCAATCGGATTTTGATGTGCTTAGCGTGCAAAAGCGCTGCAATTTCTATGGCCGGCTGTTTGTTCTCTGGCGTACGAAATGAAACTTCTCTGTTGGCAACAATCAAATTTCATTATCGCTCCGATGAACCGATGCACCTAGTTATGGAATTCTTGTTGAATTCACATAGGCGCCACTTTATTGCTTTCCATACGCTTCGCCCATAAAACGCTGATAAAATCGAAAGAGTACAAAGTTTTGGCCACGATATGAAATCAAGGTGGAAAAGACTTTTGTGAGCATTGGATATCAAGTCAAGTGAAATAAGTGAATAAGTACATGAAATTGACTCTATCATATCATTTATATTTTTCATTTGCATATAGCTTGAAGGCCTTGAAACAGAAGCTAGAGTATAAGAGATTGGTGCATAAGAGACTAGGGCTTTAGGGCGTGATGACAGCAATTCCTGCTGGTCTCTGAATATTCTATTCTATTCTCTCATTAATCTGATTTATCGAATATCTATCTAAAGCCTCCTCAAATGAAATATATTTATGCAATAGCTAAAGCTCTTCATAGCTTCTTCACACTGTTTCCAATCGAGCAAAGCTCTTGCAATTGCTTATCCATTTCCAAACAATATTTCCATTCAAATTAATTGATTATGCATAACTACCAATTAACTCAAACAGTCGAAGACACAGCTTATTCAATTATTTCAAGTGTTCGCTATTCAAATGGTCTTTGCAACGATTCAAAGTAATATGGCTTTTGCCGGGGAGCACCTGCTGCTCTGCTGACAACTTGGCACTGCTAATGCGCTTTATGGCTAATAAAATAAAAACAAATGTTTTATAAATAACAATGGCCAAATGAAATTAAAGAAACGCAAAAAAAAAAAACGAACACAAAGACCAAAATGCCTAACTAAAAAAAAAACAGGTAAAAAGAAAAGAAAATCAAAAAGAAAACCAACTCAACCTCTCCTCGGGTGCTGCTCAAAAATTACAGCCCAAAAGTGTGCTACGGAAAATTTCACATTAACAGTAACAACAACAACAGCAACAACATTAAAGTCATTTCGTATTTATTGTATTACCTTTGTCAGCATATCTAACATTTTTTTCTTGGTTATTGTTGTAGTTGCTGCCGCGCTGTTGCCTGTTCTTATACATACATACATACATATATACATGTATATATAGATATTTGTTTGTTTTCATTTTTTGAATTTTTTTTGTGATTTTTAATGCTTACTTATTATTTTTTGTTGCCGGCTTTACTGTTATTGCCCTGCTGTCATGGCATGCGCACATTGTTTTTCGTTACCATTCAAGATGAAAAATCCAATTTTCTCCCCTTAAGCATTCCTATAATGCGACCTCAAGCCCCTCAAGCCAGCGCTTCTCGTGCCGACCCTAACCCACATATACAAAAAAAGCTAAATAAAAGGGTTCACAAAGTGCATAATACAGCTTCTGTTGTTGTTATTGTTGTTGTTGTTGGCGTTGTTCTTGGTGTTGTTTTTTGTCGTTATGCTTTTCCACTTTTGTTGCGCACTATTTTCATAATTCCGAACGCTGTGCTTAGGGAAAGTGTGTAAAATGTTGGAAAAACGCGCGCTAATATGCAACGCTTCATGGGAAAATGATTTGTGGCGATTGCTGCTGGCACGCCTTGAATTCCCTATATTGTTTTTATCTTCGAAATTGGTAGAGAGTTTCGCG